CATGTGAGAGATTAGGCTAGCTTCAGCGGTGATTAAGAATCTGTACTGTCATATTTCACGATAGTCACTGACTTGGAGGAAAACGTTTTGAACAAAGGTTTGAAGTATTTTAAGTGCAAACATTTCGAGAAAAAGCCTAGGGCCTCATAAAAATAAATTAGTATCTGGACGATCCCTGGTTGAGTGATAACAAGGTAGCACCGGTTTTGTTGTAAAACGAAACTCTCGTAGTTTGCCACGATACTTACAAGGAATCATTTTTTGAGGCAACAATGTTTTTCTCCAGTTGGCACATGCATGGCTCGACCTTCGCGCGGTCACAAACGGGACCTAATTTGACAAATGGTGCATAAGTCCGAGATTCTCAAAAAATCTTCCTCCGAATGAATCCTATGATCGCGTTTCTTCGGTTTTGTTCAGTGCAGTCATTGCCAGTGTCCATTTTGTTGTATGGCTAAGTTGTTTACTCCCTCGCAAACGTATACCACGGAAAGTATTAGGTCGTGAAGAAAGTTCTTGCGCTTTTCGGTGTTTCGTTTTTGAACGCTTTATTTTGTTACGAATTCAAGCAAGCTGCCAATGAGCTGTATGTGGTTTTGAAGAGCTTTTCTTGTTCTATCTAACAGCTAGGCTAGCTATGTTCCTTATTATTTAGTTGTCATTTTTTGAAGCCTTGAATACGGCATACTCCAAGAGCAAATTTGCATGATTTCCTTTTTCTAGCTCAAAGCAGGCCAGTATGGAGAGGAAGCAGGTCAAGATATTATAGACGCACTTGGCTGAGATTCGCAATAAATATGGTCTGAAGCAATTGTTCAAAAAGCTTTTGTAAGAATAGCGAGAGCCCTAAAGATTGTGAGGGTGGTGATCGGAGATTGGACAACGCCAACGATTAGTCGAACGTTCTGGTTGAAGCACGTTTGCACAAATCTATTGAGAGGGTTCCTCCTAAACTAATCGCACTTGCATTGTGTTTTCTTGTTGTACGGGAAGAGCTGGAAAGTCCCAAAAATTCAAATAGGGCGTGCCGCGACAGCTCACCATTTTGAAGGGTCGTTCGCCGCGTTCTAGCTTGTTTCATGCCATGAAAACGACCTGACTTTTTGATCATTTGCGACGCACGACAAAGAACGGATTCTTTGCTACAGAATACGAACCTTTGGTGAAGTGATCGACCGCGATCAGGCTCTACAAACTTTGCAAAAGTGAAACTTCACTGAAGGAAGGTTGAGGTGACTTTCATAAGGTCAGCGGCTGGTCTAGCTTTTCGTAACCAGGTGGATCTGTTAATGTGGAAAAAGTACTCCTGATAATGTGTCAAACTACTCCTAGAACTCTGGCACATATGCTCGAAATTCCTCATTATAAAGGAACCGGCTCGTCCCTGACAGGTAGCTCGGACGCACATTCCACAACCAACCCTGCAGAAGTTGACAAGATTGGCTACGAATTAGTCCTGCGAACATCCTACTCGGTAGACCTTTTGCCTATAATTTGTCACTTTCTCGACTACCTGGATAGCTTCTCCAAAGAGTTATGCTTCAAAAAACCAACATGATGCGGAAACGACCTCCGCCGGATTCATCTTCCCTAGAGCTCCTGCATTCTGCACTACCGGGCTGATTCAACA